CCACAAGCAGCTTTATAGTCAAAGTCAAACCTAGATTCTGATCCAACCTTAGTCACATTAAGCTGTGTGACCTTGAGTTAGTGGCTTAACCTCTCTGAGTCTTAACTTTTGGCTGGTCCCTGGGTCCTTGAGCAGAGGCCCAGACAAGACTGGTCATGTGACCCCAGCCAGTATTCCATACAAAGCTGTCTGCTGGTACATCAGGTTTCTGTTGGAATCCAAGGACCCACATTGCTGAGACTCCCTAACAGCACAGAAGTGCAGACCTAGGGGAGGCCACCCAGCCCCAGGAGCCCGGCTTGCTTCCCAAGGGCCTGCACAGCCTTGCCCGTCTCTTTTCACCTATAGAGCCCTGTCCAGAAGCTCTGGGGTTTTCTGACCCAGTCCTTAGGTGGCTCACTCCACCGCTTGTAATTGGCTGGAAGACCCTTGGGTGGGCCTGGCTCTGTCCTCCCCACTCAGTGCCTCTACAGGGGTGGCCTGGGTGAATCAGGACCAAGGAAAAGGAGTCAGGGAGGCCAACCTGCCCCCCACCTCCTCAGCTCCTGGGCTCCAGGGGGTGGCTCCAGAACAGACACGGGGGATGGAAAGGGAAAGGCTGGGAGGGAGGAAATCTTGAGGCCATAGCCACAGCTTGCATGTTCTGTGTGTATTTGTATGTGTGCCACACATGCAAGGCTGCGTCTGGCTGAGTGGCCACATGGGCTGTGAGCGTGGGCACGTTTCTGAGTGTCTGAGACTGGCTGGCCAAGGTGGGTTGGATGGGCGTGTCTGCAGGTGTGTGCAGGTGTGCAAGACACTGCCGCTTTGTGAGCATCTGGGCTCCGTGTGCCGCCAGGCAGTTTCAAAGTGCTGACCTGAAAGAAACTGAGGCCAAACATATAAAGCATAGGATTTATTGAGACGGTATGCCAATTACAACTGGGAAACACATAGGTCAGGTCGCCCTGAGAAGTGCCCCGAGGAGGCCAGCAGAGCATAGCACTTTATCATCACAAGAAAGGGGGAAGGGTCAAATGAGAGAGAAGACAGCCCCGCCTAATCACTTCATCAGGTTTTCTATGGGTTGTACATGAAGCATAGATTTGGGATGGTCACTAGTTTACATCCTACATGCAGAGATCTAGGGTAAGGGTCCCAAGAAGCATTCTAGGTTATTTTATGGCTTTCTGGTGCCATCCTGTGTGCTTCTGAGAAAAAAGAGTCTTATGACAATGTTTTCCAGGAGAGGTGGACGTGACTACTGAGTTATCCCAGATCTCTCAAGGCATTACAATTTATTTATTTTTATTTTTTTATTTTTTAAAAAGATGACCGGTAAGGGGATCTCAACCCTTGGCTTGGTGTTGTCAGCACCACACTCAGCCAGTGAGCAAACCGGTCATCCCTATATAGGATCCGAACCCGTGGCCTTGGTGGTGTCAGCACCACACTCTCCCGAGTGAGCCACGGGCCGGCCTAAGGCATTACAATTTAGCTGACCAGGTCAGAGCAGATTTTTGGGTTATCAGAGGGAATCAGCGTCTTCTGCCATATGTTCAATGTGGATGGACCTGGAGGACATTATGCGAAGTAAAACAAGCCAGGCACAAAAGGATAAATATTGTGTGATTGCTTTTATATGAGGTTCCTAGAGTGGTCAGATGCATAGAGACAGAAAGCCTGGTGTTGCCAGGGGATGGGGAGGAGTCTCTTGGGTGTAGTGAGCACTTTCACTTGGGAAGATGAAAAAGTTCTGGAGATGGATGTTGGTGATGGTTGCACAACAGTGAATGTACCTAATGTCGCTGAACTATACCCCCCAAAATGGTTAAAATTTTATGTATATTTTACTACAATTAAAAAAAAAAGAGTTAAAGCTGGGCAGTCCAGAACAGAAGGGCTCTGAAGTCTCATCCCCTGGTTTGCCCAGGGAAGAGAATAGACTAGCTCAAAGTCACACCATGAGAGGGGTCAGCAGAACCCCAAGAGCAGCCGACCTCCTGGCTTCCCTGCCAACAGCAGCCCTAGATCCCCAGGCAGCCTCCTGCAGGTCCTCAGCCTCCCCTCTGCCCCTTCTCCTAGTTTTGCTGCCTCTCTTTCAAGGATCATCTCCAGTGGTGATGTAGTGCCCTCTCCCATAATGACATTCAGGGAGCCAAGTCAGCCTTCCCAAGGGACCAGGTTATTCTAGAAGCTGCACCCTCCCAAGTCCCCCAGTCCCCAGGCTGCCCTGGGCCAGTAAGAGAGCAGGCAACAGGAAAGGGGATGTCCTAGCTGTTACTACTGTGCCCAGCAGGTGTCACTTCTGTTTTAGGCTACACAAGCTGGTAGGCTCATTAGCAAGAGGACAAAAGGAGGCCCCTGTTCTCAATCAGTCTTCTTCAAAGGTGTTTCCTTTAGCAGCTGTGGCCCCTCCGTCACCTGCCCCAGGCCATGGGGACAACACCACCCCAGTCCATTCAGGCTGCTGTGTGGCTGTGGCCAGCCTCTGAAAGTGCAAAGAGAAAAATCAGTTGAAGAGCCATGAACAATGAATAAGCCAATTCCAGGACCACAGACCGCACAGGAAGGCTGAGTGAACCCAGGTGTGAACTCCTGTGTACTCACACTTCAGGACCTCCTGGGCCACTTCCTGCCGGTCTCTTTCCCTCGCCCCTTATCGTTCCTCATCCCTCTTTTCCTCTAATCACGCTTTCTTTTCTCTCTCTCCGGCCTTGCACTGCACCCCACCCCAGCTAGTATAGAGAATCAGGAATGTTAGATTACTCATTTTATTTACCTTTTGAAAAAATTATATCTTCTCTTCCTGCTTTTTAAATTAAATGAGTTTGACTATTCAAGTATCTTCCTTACAAACTCCCAAGAACTCATTGTGTGTGACCCTCAACTGATTTCCCCCCTGGTGGCCCCAGTGGTCCTCAGTTACAAGTCCCCCCACCCCTCCGCCACTTTACCCACTGCTTGTGTTTGTAAAAACTGGGTAAATCTAACGTTTGTGACCCAAACCGTATTTTTTGTGCAGTAGAAACATGTATGACTTCCGGAAATCTTTTCAGAAAAGCCAAATCCTTTGATAAAAAAAAGAAAAAAAATCTGCTCTGATCAGGGTGGCTAAATTATAGTGTCTTGGGAGATTTGGAATAAGCCAGCAGTCACACCATCCATCTGTCCTGGAAAATGTTAGCATAAGACCATATTACTTAGAAGCGGATATAATGGCACCAGGAAGCCATAAAATAACCAGAGATGCCTCTTATAACTCTTCCCCTAGATCCCTGCATGTGAGCTGTAACCTAGTTACCATCCCAAATCTATACCTTATGTACACCAATAGAAACCCCGATGAAGTGATTACACAGGGCTGTCCTCTCTCTCTCTCTCCTTTGATCCTTCCCCCCTCTTGTGATTATAAAATACTGAGCTCTGCTGGCCTCTTCAGGGCACATTTCTTAGGGTGACCTGACCTATACGTTTCCCTGGTTGCAATCATCATACTGGCTTAGTAAATCCTTGCTATATGTATCTGGCCTCCATTTCTTTTAGGTCAACACTTTTATGAAAGGAATCAGAGTCTCCAGGGTGGTCTTTCTGTAAATTCAGATTTTTACACACTCAGCCATGTTTGCAGAAGGGCCCCCTGCGCTGGGCGAAGCAGATAGGGTACAGCAGGCAAGGGTTGACAAGCAGGGCACCTGGGGCCAGGGGAGGACCAGGGAAGGCTCTTAGGCAAGGCTGACACGTTTGGTCTTATTTCTTTGACTGCTGAACAACGAGATGACTGTCCGTCTCTTTGTCTGCTCTGCCTGGATATCAGCAGTCTTTCTGCCCTGTCTGTGCTGGCTGCCTCTGGGTGCTGCTCTGTCTGCCTGTCTGTCCCCCTGACTGTCCCCCTGACTGTCTGCTCTCCTTCAGGATGCCTTCCGTGCCTTCCACCAGGATCTGGATTTCGTGCGCAAATTCCTACAGCCCCTGCTGATTGGCGAGCTGGCCCCGGAGGAGCCCAGCCAGGATGGACCCCAGAATGTGAGAAGGGCCCTGGCAGAGGCTCAGCTCCCCCGAGGGGAGGGTGCTAGAGGGTTTTGGGGGCATTGGCACATTGCCAGTATCAGCTCCCTCTGCAGTACCCCAAGGGGATGCTGGGCCAGGGCTGGGCAGGCATTTGAAGATGAAGCTGTGGCGATGCCCTGCAGGAGTTCAGGGCTCCAGGGCTGGTTTGGCTAGGCACTTGCTGTGGGTCCCCAGGTGAGCCCCTTCCCTGCTGGGCCCAGTGACCCCATCTACAATGAGGATTTTGATGAACTGAGCTCTGTCTAAGGGTTTCTCTCCTGGCTCTGGCTTTCTCTGCTTCTTTCCCACCCCACACCTTTTGGAGGAGGAGGAGATTTTGCCACCAGCCATTTCCCAGGCTCACACCCCAGGCTGGGTGTTCCTGCCCCTCCAGCCACTTGGGCCACATCCCTTGGGCCTGGTAGTGGGAGGAGTGGCTGGGGTTTGGGGAGCAATGGGAGGCCTCTGGGGAAGGTGGGGGTCTGGCTTCCCCAGCTGACTGGCCACTCTGCCATGGCAGGCCCAGCTGGTTGAAGACTTCCGTGCCCTGCGCCAGGCAGCCGAGGACATGAAGCTGTTTGAGGCCAACCCCACCTTCTTTGCTTTCCTGCTGGGCCACATCCTCGCCATGGAGGTGCTGGCCTGGCTCATCATCTACCTCCTGGGCCCCGGCTGGGTGCCCAGCATCCTGGCCGCCCTCATTCTGGCCATCTCCCAGGTGACATGGCACTGCATTGCAGCCATCTCGGGCTGCCCAACTGACAAAAGGCCCAGCACATGTGGGCACTCTGGATATATTTGCTGAATGAGATGAATGAATGAATGAATGAATGAACGAATGAGTGAACAGCCAGAGGGCCCATTAGGCATGTCTGTGGCTGTGAGCTAAGGAAGTTCCTTATTTACTAAATCCTGAGCCAGCACAGGGCTGCTGACCACAGTTCCACGACAGACTTGCAAAGCCCCTCCACCACCCTGAAAGTCAGTTGTTCTCATCTGCAGAAAGAGGATGCTGACCCACAAGGGTCTTGAAATGGGGCATGAGCTGTTGGCATACCCTGCGAGCTGGAAGGGTGCACTGGTGCTCCAGGGCTGGGCTCCAGGTGGCCAGCACCCTCCTCCCTGGCTGGAGCAGGCACCAGCGAGTTCCATCCCTGTCAAGGCTCCCTCCCACTGACTCCTGACCCTGCTTCTCCCTGCAGGCCCAGAGCTGGTGTCTGCAGCATGACCTGGGCCATGCCTCTATCTTCAGGAAGTCCCGGTGGAACCACGTAGCCCAGCAGTTTGTGATGGGGCAGCTGAAGGTGAGGGTGGGCAGCCAGGCACTGAGTTTGGGGTACACCACTGGGTCTGCCCCAGTGTGTGGGCACAGAGTGGTGGGCACAGCCCAATCCTACCCCTGAGAGCCTCCTCCTCCCCCACAGGGCTTCTCTGCCCACTGGTGGAATTTCCGCCACTTCCAGCACCATGCCAAGCCCAACATCTTCCACAAAGACCCAGACGTGACTGTGGCACCCGTCTTCCTCCTGGGGGAATCGTCTGTGGAGGTGGGTGAGGAGGGACGTGGGTGCCCTGAGGCTAGGCTTGCAGCTGAGGGGGGACCAGCAGTGACTGAGCCCCCCACTCTAGCTCCAGGCTGAGCCCCTGCCCCAGTGGGATTCCCTCCCGACCTCCCAGCCTGCTGGGGATGTGGGGCCCAGTTGCTAGAATCTAGAGTTGCCTTTGACCCTTGGCTCCAGCCAGCCCCCTGACCTTGCCTGGGAGAAGGAGGGCCTGGAGAGCTGCTCACCCCAGCCGCCGCCTGTCTCCACAGTATGGCAAGAAGAAGCGCAGATACTTACCCTACAACCACCAGCACCTGTACTTCTTCCTGAGTGAGTGTCCACTGGCCCTCCTGGGGTCGGGGGGCGTGCCTGAGCCTGCACTGTTCTCTCCACCGTCCTGAGCCACTCCCAGCCCAGGGGAGCAGAGGCCTACCCGTTAACCTCCCTCACCGGGGCAGCCAGCAGGCCTCTCCAGCCTCTGCTCTGCGCGCCCACCCTCCCAGCGCCTGCCGGGGGTGCCTTCTGGCCCCATGCAGAGCAGACACAGCCTTGCCAGATCTTTCTCAGGCCCAATTAGATCTCCTTCCTGCCCTCACATCAGGGAGTCCTAGAGTGTTTGGGCAATTACTGGGGCGGACAGGGTGAAGATCCGAGGCTGGCCCCTGACCTGCAGCAGAAGGGACACAAGAGGCAAAAGCCACAGGGCAAGGGCCACCCTGGTGAGGCTCCAACTCAGAAGGAACAAGTGTAGACCAGGCCTTGTGGGTGACATGGGGTCATCCCAGCTGGAAGGGACCAGCACCAGTGTCCCATGGGTGTTCTTGGAGTAACAGCCCCACTCCCCCACGCTGCCTCCCACCCTGCCTGAACTCTCTCCTGCCCCCTTCTTGCAGTTGGCCCGCCGCTTCTCACCCTGGTGAACTTTGAGGTGGAAAATCTGGCGTACATGCTGGTGTGCCTGCAGTGGACAGTGAGTGCTCAGGACCCCAGGCATACTGATGTGGTGGCAGGAGTGGGACTTCAGGGGACAGCCTCCATCCACAAATATAAACAGGGTGCACAAGCAATGGTCTGGTTCATGTGTGTGTGTACGTCACACATGCACATGGGGGAGAGAGAGTGTGCATGTGACTGTGTTCGTGTGTGTGTGCAGGGGGAGCACAAGCATGCACGTGACTGTGTGTGCTCAGGGGAAACCAAGTGTGCACATGACTCTACGTGTGTGTGTGCAGGGCGGGCACAAGCATGCACGTGACTGTGTACATGTGGGCAGGGGGAGACCCAGCATGCATGTGACTGTGTGAGTGTGTGTGTGTGCAGGGTGAGTGCAAGCATGCACGTGACTGTGTACATGTGTGCTAAGGAGACCAAGTGTGCACATGACTGTCTGTGTGTGTGCATGGGGGAGTGCAAGTGTGCATGGGGAGAAAAGGTGGAGTCTCTCTCTCTGTAGAGGTGTCCCCCCTGGAGGGGAATCACCAGACCAACTCTGCTGGCCATATGTGTCCCAGGCAGGGGCTCCCCCCAGCACCCTCCATGGTACCTTCACTTCCAAAGTCAGCCCTGTGAGCTGGCAGGGCAGGGACCCTGTTCCTTTCTTTATCCAGCTGAGAAAACTGAGGCCCAGGGAGAGGTGGTGGCCTGTCCACGACTCCAAGGCAAATCAGGCAGAAGGGGTGGATGACCCCAGCTCCCCATCCCACCCACCTATCAGGCCTCCAGACCCCAGCCACCCAGAGGCCACTCAGTCTCACCTCTGCCCTCCTCTGTAGGACTTGCTCTGGGCTGCCAGCTTCTACGCCCGCTTCTTCTTGTCCTACGTCCCTTTCTACGGTGTCACTGGGGTGCTGCTCCTCTTTGTTGCTGTCAGGTATGGCCAGATTTGGAGTGGCATGGAGGGCGGAGGTCACATACAGTCGCAATGATCTGACCACAGCATCCCCTGCTCCCAGCCTTCATTTCCCCATCTGCAGAATGGGGACAGCAGTACTGCCTCCTAGATTGCTGGGGGTGTCCACCCTCATGAGCAGGGCTGCTCAGGGCCCAGCCTCACA